AATTATAAGGAATATAAATATATATATATATATATATATACTTTTCTATAAACATTTTGTAAGTTTATACTATTGTAATATTTAGTTAATACATTAATATTTTTATTATTATGTAGGTATCTAGTATTTTTGATGATGGTTATGCTCAATATGTTACTCATAATGACATCTTCTTGGTTTTGGAGACGTCGTCACGTATATGGGAAGACATTCCCATTGAATCACGAGAGTTTGTAAAGAAATACTTGGAGTCGTATCCCGAAAGGCCGATGGTAAAGTTACAACCGGGCCAAATGGTTAAAACTGAATGGAAGGGTAAATGGTGGCTCGCGAGAGTTGTGCTAGTTGACGCGAGTTTAGTGCAAATGCATTTTGATGCCGATGGGAGAACCGAGTGGATTTATCGTGGATCGACTAGATTAGGTCCTTTATACATCGAAGTAATGAAAGCCAATGCAAGACAACTTCAACAGTCCGGCAATGTGCATACTCGACATCGTATTCCTGCCACATCTAATGTAAGTGAACAAAAACTCAATTTGAAGATAAAGAACTTTGATAGCTTTGCTTGGAAATTGTTTTGCATATTGAATTCTCTGTTTATAAGTCATAATTTTTGCAGAAAAGTAATTTACCTTACGTCGAATATACATCCAACGTGGAAGAAGAAGTAATGCAAAATACGGTGCAAGTATCAGAGAAAGCAACAGTTGCTACAAGTGCGTCTAGTACACCATCCACTACAGCACAACAACCGCGTGCAGTAGCTAGAAAGAGTACGGCTAAAAGGCAGAATAATGTAGATTCTACAACATACAATTCCACAGTGGAAACAAAACCGTCACATAGTATTGTTGTAAGTAAATAACAAATCGCACATGGTATTACATTTACATTTTACATTTACATTACTTTACATTAATCTACATCTAATTTAATTTAAATAATTTACTTTTTGATATTTTCTTTTTAAATTATCCTATATATTTGTACATTGTTGATTTTTGTAGTTTTATCATACGCAACGAGAATACGAGCCGAAGAAGTATGTTGTTCATAAATGTGGGCCAAAATGTATTAAGGGCATCAAGGTTTCGCAAGACGATCTCAAAGGGCTCTCTCCACTTTCTGTTCCTCTGTTATGCGGCTGGCATCGTCAGCTTTGCAAATTTTCCAAAGGCAAGAAAGTTATCTTGTATCAAACACCATGTGGTGTCAGGTTGCGAAGTATGGAAGAGCTACATCGTTATCTGCGCGTTACTAATAGCACATTGTCCGTTGATTTATTTGATTTTGATTATTGGGTGCGCGCCGTTGCCGATTTCGTCGTGGAGAAGTGCTTTATTAACATCAAGGTAAATCATCAAAATCAAAATCTAAAAACGATACGCAATAAAAAAATAACTTTCCATAGATCTCAGAATATTCAATAAATATGATACTTTAAAATTATAAAAAATATTAAATATGAAAATTAGACTGATTTTTCGTATTTAAAAGGATCTTAGTTATGGTGTGGAAAATGTACCAATACCATGCGTGAACGATTTGGATCATACTCAACCGGATACCATAAGATATACCACACGTCGAGAGCCAACGGAAGGTGTCAATCTAAATCTAGATCCTGCATTCTTGTGCAGTTGCGATTGTGAGGATGATTGTCAGGTATGAAATATCTGAGGTAGAACTATCATGTGATAACGTAAGTGATAACATTTATGCTTTATTTTATTTAATTCTGATATAGGATAAAACGAAATGTCAATGCTGGCAGTTGACAATACAAGGGGCAACTCTGGGAGGGAAAATGCCGAACACTGCCGTCGGTTATATTTACAAACGCTTGCCCGAACCGGTGACCACAGGAATCTACGAGTGCAACTCGGGTTGCAAGTGTTCTGTGAAGACATGTCTCAATAGAGTCGTGCAGCATCCTCTCAGATTGAAATTGCAAGTATTTAAAACGGGACCACGTGGTTGGGGCATAAGGTGCCTCAATGATATTCCCCATGGCGCTTTTATTTGTATTTATGCAGGGAGATTGCTCACTGAACAAGTACGAATACTTGAAACATGTATCTCAGATTTTCTCATCTATCCATGTATTATTTTATATTTTTATCTTTTTCATCATATAGGGCGCGAATGAAGGAGGTAAAAATTATGGCGATGAATATTTAGCAGAATTAGATTACGTGGAGGTAGTAGAAGGTTTCAAGGAGGGTTACGAAAGTGATGTTCTCGAATCGGAAATGCCAATGTCACCAGCAGAAATTACTGCTAAGAAGAAAGTTGCCAGTGTGAGTGATGAGGACGAAGAAAATACGAAGGAAACTGTCAATGACTCGGATGAAGATTTCAATATTGACAGCTATGTAGCTTGTAATAAAGATCTGGAGTTGGAAACAACCGCGGAATCATCATCTATCAGGTATCTATTGCATTCTGTTTATTATGTAAATTAATTATAATATTAAAATTAATTGCTTTTCTTAGATTATTATTATTGCATGAAATATTAAAAAATATACTTTTTTATGACTTATAAGATTCAGCTAGACTGTAGTGTTTGTATAAATCGAAAAAATTGTAAAGAGAGTTTTATTATTAGGAAACGTTTAAGGAAACGGAAAAGAGAAGAAATGGACAATCAACCCGATGTATCTGAAGACAACAGCGAGGACGAAAGTGTTACGAGAGGTTCGGAGAATACAAAATCATCTAGCGAAAATCGTATAACGGATCAAGACACGATCAATATCAGTGATGATGAAGATAGTAGAAACGACGTGAGAAGAGAGCCAAGTAGATTCGAGCCTAGTGTAGAACCTAAACAAATAGAGAGATCTACGTTCAAATCCGTGAGAGATTATTTTGGCGAAGATGAAGCTGTTTACATCATGGATGCCAAAACGACTGGGAACATTGGCCGATATTTAAACGTAAGTGAAAAATGATTAAGGCACTTTTTATTTTTCATTTTTCGTTTGTTATCTGGAAAATAAAATATTTTTGGATTTCAGAATTTTTCAAAATTTCGTGAAAATATTTATTTATGTTTTATTTCAACTTTGCATCTTTAGGCTCGTGAATTATGTATTTTTTATATAAATTGTTGTCTTTTTCAGCACTCCTGTGATCCAAATGTGTTTGTGCAAAATGTGTTCGTCGATACGCATGACGTGCGTTTTCCATGGGTAGCGTTTTTCGCATTACAGTACATAAAAGCTGGACAAGAACTTACGTGGAATTATAGTTACGATGTAGGAAGTATACCGGGTAAAGTGATCATTTGCAAGTGTGGTGCAGCTAATTGTAGAGGCCGTCTTTTATAAATTGACGTGCATCTTACAACAATAAATTTAATTTTTTATATACATGGAACTTATTTTCTCTAGCAAAGTTACAATTAATAATACATGATAGGAAGCATCATATTGCAATCATTATTTAATTTTATTGTAAAAAAGAGTTTGCAATAAGTAAAAGAGTATTATATAAAATCGTGAAATATGCATTGATTATGAAATATTTCAATTGTGAAAATCTTCAATGCAAAATTTTATTTTTATGAATTATGTAAATACGATATATTAGTTAATTAATCATTCTTTTCTATTTAAATATTTAAATTTTATAATATGGAAAAATATTTTTTTCTCTTCTTCTGGAAACACCAAATCTAGGATGACTCGTGTTTGGATATAGAAAATAAGAGTAGTGTTCATAACAATGATGTATTTGCTTATTATTTTGATTATTGTACAATCTTAGCATCCATTAGACACATTACACATTGTTAGCATTGCAAACGTACTACTTCATTTTTGTCGCAATTTATACATACATCGTTCAAAATTCAACTCAGCACACAGGTATCTTTAAAGAAGAGTTTAGCACTTTGCTTAAGAATAGGGGATCCCCCGCCGTCATCGCCGCCGTCAAGGAAATATCAAATTTAAGGGGAATATGGTCGAAGCGATCGTGACATAAAAATGTATATAAAAAGGTTTTCAGGATTTATAAATTAATAACAAACAATTACGTGTACCGTCTTATAGATCAAAATATATATCAAAATTACATTATATGCGTATATATATTTATATACGATATTGTAAATTTAAACTAAACTAATTCTTTTGTAACTTATTTCAGTTACAAAAGGATAATATCTTTATGATAAATCTGTAACTTATATGTATATTTAGAACCATGACAAATTACCGCAAGAATATGAGCTCTTCATTATACAATCTCTCGACATGCAATATGTTATCATAATAATAATTATTATAAAACAGCATCCATATACCTATGTTCATTTAATTTAGAGTGCTTAAATACGATATACTCTAGTCATCATAGGCGAAAAATGAAAACGAAGCTGGTGAAATAGTCTCTCTCTATAAGGAGGAACATTAACATACTAAAGTAACAAAAATTACGATTCCACATTTTGTTTGGCTTTATGCTAGTGAAGTTTCAGGAGCTGTTTAATCTCATCTTTTTCGGCCGCGTCCAGGTAACTCGTGCCGTCTGGCGTTAAACCATCTGGTTTAGCACCTTGCTCCAGCAACAGTTTCACACAGTTTGTGTGCCCCTCCCAGATTGCTGCCAATAACGTTGTGATTCCATGCTTATCTGTAGCCTGTAAAAAAATATTTATCTATTCCACTTAACAATATATATCTTTTATCATAGAAGTGAACAAAAGAATGATCATTACTAGAGATACTAAATTGTTTTTATATAAAATAATTATATAACATGCTATTATTTAACTAGTACACTGGTTGTCCTTTAAATATTTCAATTTTTACTTACATTGGCATTTGCTCCTTTCTCCAATAAATATCTGACGACTTCGCTCTGACCATAATCTGCTGCATAATGTAGTGGCGTTCTTCCATCAATCATTTGATTCACATCAATATTCTAAAAATGATATCAATTATAATTAAATAACAAAAAAGGACAATACTTTTAATCTAAATTAACAATTAAATAATAACCATAGTGAATTACTATATGGTAAAAAATATTATTTCAATGTTCAATTATTTGAATATTTATTAAGAATTAATAATTCTAATTCATTTATTAAATTTCTAATTTATAAAAAGCAGCTTATAAATAAGCTCAAGAGAAAAGAATCAAGATTAATAATATAATTACTATACGTAATATTATATAATAAATTTTATAAGAAATATTAAAAAAATATGAATAGATATGAAAAAAATGAATAGATATGATGACTAAAAATTATAACAAAATTATATCAAACAGAAAAAATATTTTATAAAGTTTGCAATATAGTATTCTTCATATAACATTGATATTACATTGATACGAATATTAATTTCCTATAATTCTTCGTCTATTAATAAAAATTGTTCATAATTGTGTTCCTACAATCGAGTCTTCTTCATACTACAGATAAACAGTAAGAATCTCAAGATGCTTCGTAAATTTATTGCAATTTTCAGATTCCTTGTTTGAGATGCTTGAGATTAGATTCGTAAGAGGTAAAATGTGAAGAAGCAAGTGGCAAATGATAGAAAGGACATGCCGATGTAACACGGTCATTTATATAGTCGCGTGTACACTTCCGGCATCCAAGCGCAGATCTGTCTCTCGTAATTGCTCGACAGGCTCCTGATATATAGCATGTATTTTACGTACTATGTACGATCCAGGAAGAATGCGCGTGCATACGAACAGCACGATCGAGGTGCGTGACGGCTTTTTTTCGAAAGAAACTCGATAATCAACATGACATATTTGCCTTGTTCTCGACGATATCTCGCACTTGCTCGAGATCGCCGTTTTTTATTCCCCAAACTAGCTCGCTCATCCTCGTCGTCGTTGTCGCCTTTGCGGAGATCCACACGACGGACGGCTGTATCCAGACTACGTACGTCCACTTTTTCCACCGTTCTTATCCGTTCCGCGCCGCAGTCATCAGTCCGTGAAATCCGACGAAGCTCCAAACTCCGGCCGCCACCGACGGTAATGTAATTTCGTTGGTGTGCGTGCTGACAATTCGTGCGCGTTGTCAACTTATTAAAACCGAAGGTACTACGTAATGTTACGTCAGGGCTACCATTTGTTCATGTATTCCAAATGGCCACCTCTTGCTTCTTTGATATGAAGTTCCAACAAGATAAAAGTAAATTCAATATGGCATCGGAGCGAGTTATTCAAATTTATATCAATTTTTGCAGTAGAAACTACGATTTATATTTATTTCTATCAATGTAAGTTAATTACAGTTTAACTTGCTTTTTATCTTTTTTTAGTTCTACTATTAGAAAAAGATAAAGAAGAAATTAAACTGAATAAACATTGATTGAATGATTTGTGACATTTATTGATAAAATTCAAAATTTATAATTTTTTAAATAATTATATTTAATATTATAATATTTTTCCATTATTTGTAGAACTTTAAATTAAATCTCTTTTTTTCGATGAGTTTTGGAACGCCAAATCGACAATGGTGATCAGTCAGTGATCAGTAGGTCGGTGAGACCTGGGACATATCGAGCTATGTTTTTCTCACAATTCTAATGAATTTCTTACGAGTAATATCTCATTCTTTGTCTATTTAAAACTATATTTAATTACGAAATGGCATCTCTCGCTCGCGTTAGTATCGTGAGACTTGGATACAATAACCTTACTAGACAATTATGTAAGGTTAGTATTAATTTACGGTCTTCACAGATTTTATTTTTGATACACGGAAATATTCTATAAAACAAACACGTTGATAAATGAATTAATTGCCAATATGAATGCGATTTATCGTAGAAATATCATATCTCATGACACTATAAAGTATTGTAAATAATGCTAATTTAAAATTCTGTCAAAATACGAAATCTCAATGTACTTATAATTCGTATGGATTATATAGGTGACAGCTACTAGTAATGTAATGCAATCTGCCTTCATTTCGCATAAAGCGAAACGAGTAGATCGATATCGGATCGCACCATTTGATTACTTATATAAAAAATATGGTGCCTGGGCTCAGATGTTTGATCCAATGTTTGACCGATGCGATGAAAATGCCAAGATAATCGTCGTCGAAGGCCCGATCGCCGCAGGAAAATCTAAGGTGGCCGCGAAATTGGCGGAAGAATTCGAGATGATTTATCTACCACCACCAACCTTTGACGAGTATTACATAACTGAATTCGGATACGATCTACGTACACTGGACGACAGACTGTCTCCGGGTGCACAATCATGCGACGTAAAAAAATTCCTAACGAATCCGCATCATGTCAATGTACCTATGTTTCAATTCCATTACTTCCAATTGAAGTTTGATCAATATATTACAACTCTGCTGCACTTGTTGTCCACTGGTCAAGGAGTAGTACTCAATCGTTGTTTCTATTCAGATTATGTATTTGCGAAGGCAATGACAAATGCCGGTTATATGCGTCCAGAGGCGTTGAAATTTTATGCTGACATCGTGCATGTTGCAAAATATCAGATGCTGAGACCTCATGTGATCGTTTACTTGGATGCACCTGTGGATACGGTCAAGGTGATTTCATTTTTGTAAATGTGAACAGTACAAGCTCACTTTTTATATATTTTATACTTAAAGAATATTTTATATATTTTGTCATATCACATATTTGCAGGAGAAAATAAAAAAACGGGGTACACCATACGAAGTGAATTCAAAAGTTCTCACTACAGAATATCTTCAAGATATTGAAAATTTTTACAAGTTCGATTATCTGAAAGATATTGTAAAGCATTCTCACGTATTAGTTTACGACTGGACGAATGAAGGAGATATTTCTACCATAGTCGAAGATATTGAAATGTTAAAATTTGATTACGATGACAAGGCAGATAAAATGGCAGATTGGAGATTCAATAATGTTGACGAAATTCGTTCTAAGAGGCTACTTTATGAAAATAGATATTATCTACATGTAGATTATTATAGAAATGAGCCTACAGTGCCAGAATTGCACCATTCACCTGAAGAATTGATGGAAATAGAGAAGGCGATGAATACTGTATGTACATATACCATACAATTGAAAATTTGTAAAGAAGTTTTATGAATTATTATTACTTATTGTTTAATCATGTGTTCAATAAGATAAGAAATCAAATAAAAAAATCAAATTACAGAAAGTTATCACAAGATCAAGACCTTCAATTTAGGATTGCAATTATATAACTATTAATCTCATTACAGGTACCCGGAAATGACTATATGAAAGGATTTAATCCTAAGATGGGGGATAAAAATATTTGGTGGAAATCAGAATCATCTTTCCGTTTAAACACCCTAAGACCTAATGCCCGCGACGTAAAGGTGATAATTGAAGAAATGAAGAAACTCAAGGCTGCAGCATCAAAATGAAAGCGAGGGCGACGTTTAGGAAAGAAATAGAGCTTGTAAATGATACTTGAAGTAAAAATAAATTTTACTTTCAATCGGAAAGTGCTCTGTTTTTACTAAATTAATTTTTGCGGTTTTAATACCATTTGTCATGAATAATGAAATATTTTAACATAAATTTTTATATCTGAATATATAAAATATTTCTTCATAATTTTGTGTATTTAAAAAAAATCCAAATTCTAAATTTAAAAAAAAAAACTTAATTGCTTACAATCCCATAAACTCATGTATTGTGTTTAAATAAATTTACTTCGTACTTGTGAGTTCTATGTATAAATTATTTTCTTTATATGAATACATCATATAACATTAACATTTGAAAATATATTAATATATATTTACTGGCTCATTATACTCTTCAACATATATAGTATAAAGATTACAATTATCACTTATGTATTATACATAGAATATATTTTCTTTCTGTCAAGACACATCATCAGAGTTTTACTTACGTTGAAGTTGAAGCTTCATCGTCTATTGATCAACTTGATGAAATATGTAATAAACATTGATAATCATTTTGGTATATAATTCACAATATATAAATACAATTATCCATATTAAAAAGGATAAGGATTGGTTTGCGTATATGTTAAATAAAACGGTTAGACGTCCTTCGAGAATCTGCAATCTCTTTTCCCGTTCAGATTATAATTATGAGTAAACATGGATTCTCAACATAATTCCAATAAAATCTCACAGTTATGACATAAAAATATTTTCGGCGGTTACAAAGACTCTCTGCTAAAAAAACAAAGAACTTTTTAATTATTTGTATAACGTGATGCTGATCGTATTAGATGGGAACTTAATTCTTTTAACGAAGATACATCGTTCGTTCATTATAATTATAACTATTCTTATCGAATCATATCTATCGATTCGCGAGATCGTTTCGAAGCCACCTCGCACTGCATGGTTTCTTTCACACGTAAAAAGGGCACGATTAATATTCGGAATGTGTTTAAGGCGATACTTTGACACTCTTGGGAAATTCCATTACGTCGTTCCCCCTCGCGTGAAACTCATCACGGAAATAATCCTTGTACGCAATTGCTTAGGACCGTTTCTCGCGAGTAGATAAGTTCTACGGGCATTAACATCCTTATAAAAAATTCCACTTAAACTGGGAGAAAGCGGCAGTGCTTTGCTTTTGCCCGTTATTTAACTAGAAATTCATCGAATTAATATACATGTATATATTCCACTGAAAAATTTGGGTAGACTGATATCTGTTATCTCCCCTCTTTTATTAAACTTTCCCCTCCGTCCCTACCCTTCCGTCGCCCACGCGTTTTCTGCAAATCGCATACATACCAATTTGCGATTCTATACTGCAGAGATTATAAAGTCACATTTATTCTGAAAGACCAAAGCGGCAAAGCTCACTAAAAAAAAAAAGAGAGAGAGAAAAATAAAAGAAGGAAACGTATACATTCTAAGGAGCTAAACTACAGCATGAATTGGTTTTCCGCGCGGTCTTGTAAAACAACTTCGACTGAGCACTGAGTCCCTCTGACTTAGAGACTAGATCGTCCAGCTTCTCTCCCCTCTGTAGCACCGCCTCTAAGGTATTGTGCTGGTAAAAAGTATTACAAAATTTTGTATACTTATACAACATACCTTAGAGATACATATTTTACAACATATTTTACAATAGATTAAATAAATTTCATATTATAGAAATTTTTTATACAAATGAAAAAGAAAAACAGTTAGACTTTTACCAAGATAATTTTCGTCTCATCCAGATCATTTTGCATTTTCGTAAGCGCATCCGCCTCGACTGGATTCTGATACTTAGCTAGATACGTATTAATCTGTGAAAATTCAGTGGTAGCCTCCTTGAGAGTAGACCATGTCGATGGTGGATGCTTTGTTGCAAACTCATCCATCACCTTTGTAATCAGAGTATGCGCCACTCTCCTAGGATACTCATGATCTGAGATAAGAACTGCAGCGAGATTGTCAGCTCGCACATAGACATGGCACATGTACTCTACAAAAAAATCAAATATATATCATAATTGTTTGCAAAAATAATTATAAAATTATAATTTTATAATTACCTCCTTCTTTAACACTCTGCCTGGCACATGTCTGTGTCCTTTCCACAATGGTTTTACTTACAAAACACATAAATTCCTTGATACTATTCTTTTGAAAATATGAGAATGACTCTACATCATAAGAGGCTTTCAGTGTCGTCGCCGACGTAGGAGTTTTGTACAGAACAGTCAGTGCATATAACTTCACCATCTTAAGCTGCAAAGATAATAAATACAACATTGAATTCGATGACTCACATAATTATTAAAAGAAAAACAAATCTCTTTTAAATTAAAAAAAAAAAAATGTATTACAAATTACTGAATGACAAATTAGTTTGAGTCATTAACTTTATAAATTTTTATACTATGTATATTTTTCATTATTATGAAATCTTTTATTTGAAGTTAAGGCGTCAAATTAAATATAATCTCAAGAGAAAATAAATGCTATTTATATTTATTTTATAAGTTAAATATTTCTAATGATTTTATTTGATTTTCCAATAATTTAACATATGATGAAATACACAATAAAATTTATAAAATTGAAAAATTGAAAAATAAATTTTCTGATTAGTTCTAAACTATAATAATGAGAAATTTGTCTTACGTGGATAAAAAGAAAGTCAAAGAATCTCAGGAAGAGAGTTTAAGTCAAACGTACGTTTTTTTGTATTTGTAGCGTTACACCTCAGAATCTTTGGTTATCGTTGCGAATCCTAGCGACGTATTGTCGCACACGCGATCAGATTGTCAGCAGGATACCCACTGGCTGTGATGATTCACTGGAAAATCATATTGTTTTTTCGCGACGTATACAATCACCTCGAGCCTGCGAGGTATAAAAACAGCCATGTTGCCCATGTTGCATTTCGCGATTAATCAAGGGCGTACGATTTTTCGGGCCAGTCGCCGAGACATACGATCTAGTAATTTACTAGATATGTACCACACAACGAGCGACGATTCTAGTAACTTACTAGATCATGTTCTAGGCCATTGGTTGTACTAAAGAGAATTTAGATCTGTCTTCGCAGCTGCGTTTATGAATGGACTTTACCGTGTGAGGGATTTTTATGAATTTTAGGTTTATTTTTTGGCTGCTTTTGTTTTAAGAAACACAATCAACACATGTGGATATATTCTAAAAATTTACTATTAGTATTAAAAATCTGTTCACGTAACGTATATTATACATTATCAGCAATAATAAATTTTAGAACACACTTTTTGATGCAAATTGACAAATTCACTCGCACTATTCGATTTTCCTCTCGAGCCTTTCGAAGCAGAAAAGTCGATTGAACGAAATTGTAAATGGGAAACGATTTACATGTGTTCTAAAAATTTATTGCTAACAATAATAATAATAATAATAATAATAATAATAATAATAATAATAATAATAATAATATACGTCATGTAAACTATAAATTTTTAATATTGGTATAGTAAATTTTAAAACATTGTGTCAAATAATTCTAAAGAAAAACAGCCTATATAAACTTCTCGTATCATTCACCTTTGCTTTTTTTCTTTCCAACATGAGAAAAGAGAAAAGATAAAAAGAATACAAGTTCTGTTAAAAATAGATCTCTCTGGGGAATACCCTGAACAATCAATGTAATCAGTTTGGCGCTAATAATGAAATTATAAAATAAAAATTAACGAGAAAAAAGAAAAACAATTTTTTATAAATATAATATATCAGTATTTAAAAAGAAGGCATCAACAGTTAAACATTTAAGTATATTCTGCTATTTACATATATAAATTTGTCATGTTTTTTTTTTAAGTAACATGCTTAGTGCATATTGTTAATCTTAAGAATAAAAACTGTCATTATGATCTTGACGCAATTTAAGACAGTGTGCACGACGTTCTATAAATGCGGCCATTCTAGTGGACGGTATGGTTGCGCCAGTCGATATCTGATAGAAAGATGAATAATATATTACATTTTAACGCTGTATCAAATATCAAATTAAATTATCATCATAAATTATTTTAAAGAATAGAAAATTACCTTTAACCATGGCGAACCAAGACAGATCTCTGCATTCACTCGATCCTCACCACACAGGCACAATAATCTCCCGAGAAGTTCCTTCGCATCGCTGGATATCGTCTCGAAATATTCGTCGGGAAAACAAAAATCGCACTTGAGAATATTGGCGGTGGTTTCCTCCACAGAGTCATCCAAAAACGGTGACAATCCACTAAGATATTTAGAACAAAAAAAGAAAATGATAAGGCACGCACGACAAAAATAATATAATAAAAAAAGATTAAAATAATAAGTAAGCAATTCTAAACGAAAATACCTTAACAAAACATAAATAAAAACTCCGACAGCCCACATATCTGTATAGGGACCAGTCGGTCTACCTAGCACTGACTCTGGTGCTGCAAATTCCAAATCTGCAGGAGGCGGCACAATCTCGTCGATCGGAGCTCTGACAGTTTCTCCTAGATCTATCACTTTCACTTGATCAGTTTCCTGATCGATAAGAATATTCTCCGGTTTCACATCCAGATGCGCTCGGCCGCGACAATGCAACCAGCGCAGTGCAGATAACAACTGACAGATGTATCGCGTCACCGTCGCCTCGGTGTATCTCATTTTCTCGCTCAGATATGCGAATAGCGTCGGACCCCTGACTCTATAGAGAGTAAAGTTTATATTTATATAACTATCATTGTCATTATTGAAGTTTCGTAAACACTCACAGTTCCAGGACGATGGTGTCCATGCCGGGGCGAGGCGCGTTTTCAAACAAAGCGAACGCTCTGACGATGTTGGCGTGATGGGTAGAGGCCAATATATCGTATTCTGCGCGTGTTAGCGATCTTGACTGTTTGTGTCGCGGAATTTGTTTGAGTGCCACCTCTTGACCGGTGCCCTTGTCTCTGGCGCGACGGACCGTGCTAAATCTACCGTTACCCAATTCGTCTAGTTCCAGGTACCTGCCCACGAATTGCTTAGCTTCCCATTCCGCGCCACTACCTGTGTCTGATCGCGACAGAGTCACTACGATCGATGGAGAGGACGTCCTTCCGTCATCGCCTACTACTCGAAAGCTATACGAAGCATCCGTCGACATATCTAATAGAACGGGAGGCTCGTTAACTTGCTTCGATACCGATACCCATTGCTGCGATGGTAAAGTTCTACATTCTATACTACACGACGTGCCACCGATCTCCTGCCTGTCCCAATCAATTTCCACTTTTGAGGATCCTAAAATGCGTGCCGAGGTACTGCTCTTCCCGCCTAAAACATAATCAGTACGTAGTAATATCTGCCGTGATATATCCTGTATTAGAATTTTCGATTAACAACGTACCTACTACGAAGAGAGAAATTCCCGCAGAGCAAGAACCCATCCCACTTTTCAGGTGACAGTGATATATCCCGGAATCCGAAGCTCGACAACCGGTGATTTGTAAGTACACAAAACCCGCGCTACGTTGAAACTGATACCGATCGCTCTCTCTTATACACTGATTCTCACCCTCCTTTTTCCAGGTGACGATCGCATTGTCCGCGTTATGCGTCTCGACAGAGAGCCTAACGATTTCTCCGACGGTCGCGCGAATCGAAGTCGGACTGTTCAGAATAGTCGGTGTTTTATCCTCTGGCACCGTCGTCGACTCGCGAGGATCAACAGCATGGCATCTCGCGAGATCGATCTTTCGCGGTCGAAATGACCACGCTCGGCTAATCGCTGAGTTCGGAATAAGACTCGCTGGGATCCACAGCTCGTCCTTGGTATTCACAGGGGACACCACCAAGCCTGGACCGTCAAGGTGGGAAACAACGAGCTCGTCTCCAGCATGTAACTTTCCCCAATCTGCGGCTAATCTTACACGTGCACCTGGAACGACCTAAGGGAGTCCCTTTGTTATATGCGTATCTTCTTGGATATCTGATCACGTTATTAAGTATATCTTTTATGCAACTTGCGTCGCTACACCCCGTTTTTGTATTCACCCAGAATGCGACAGGAAGTTCGACCCAGGAAGAGCTTCCAGCACCGTAATGCAGCGATGATAGCAGGTACTAACGATAGTAGCGATTCCGGTAAAAGAAGAGATAACAGCGTAGTAACGGTATTGATTTTGACAGAATCAGTAGTAGTGTAGAATAGCAGCGGTAGAATACTTGTTACAAAAGCGATATCGATTGCGACGATTTTGTAGAGTACTAGCGGTTATGTTCGGCAACGGTGATAAAAAAACAGCAGTGTAGTACATAGTAAGTAAGAAGATGTTAGAAGCGACAGCAGAGTTTGCAGAATCAGAAGTCACTCGTTATAAGAAATTGCAGATTTTCTTCCTATTTTTTTCGGATCGTTATCCTTCGTAGGTATGTATATGTGCATTTGCTTTACGTTTGTATGAGGTCTTGTTACACAAGCTAAAAAAGATACATATGGCATTCGTGGATCATTTCAGAGTCGAGAGTTCTTTAATGACAGAAGTATAATAATCGTCGCACCGACAGAAGATAATGCGGATAAATAGCGGTAGATAGTGACAGGCATCAAGAGGAAGAGGAAGAGCCCCTTTGCTGCAATCATTAAGAATTTCAATTGATACGGGTGATAATCTATACATACACCAGGTAAAGTTGAATAAAGACCAGTCAATCAGGATTGGCTCACCGGGATGGAATTGTTGCGAATCGGCGAGCGTGTGCGTAGAGTATTCTTAAATCCCTCCAGGAAAGTTAGCCTACTCTTCGTCGGGCTGGGTGTACGCGGTTGCGTACATTCCAATCCTCCGGTATGCGAACGCTGCAAGGGTTGCTGATTCGTTCTATGGTCGTTACCCTTATTCGTCGATCCGGAGACTATCAGAGTCGGAGGAACCGATACGGTTGCTCGTATCGCAGGTTCGGACGTGGTGGTAGCGGTGGTGGTGACGGTGGTGACACGGCTGTATGCCAGCAAATCATAAATGAAATCCAAGACACAGTACTACACGTCGAGACTCGCGCATTACGATATACCTACTGGATTTTAAACGATAAAAATGATAAACGACAAAACATCTCAAGGATTCATCTCATTAAATAATGTTTAATTCAGAATCTCGAGGCGATCGACAGGAACGAGTCTCGGCACAAGCCAGGATATACGAAGAAGCCAACGTTGCTAGCAATTTGGATCTTTTGGGCGTGTCGAAGAATAGATGAGTAGGTGCTTAATGGCAACGCATGGCGGCAAGGTAGGTGGTTGGTGTAGATACACTTGGACTTGCTTCCCGCAGTACTGTGTTCTTGATGAAATTATAAGAAAAGAAGCGGTTAGTCGGGCTTGATGTGTATATTAGATAGTAAATGAGGACAGGGATGCATATCACAATCACTCGGTCTTAATCATCAATTTACAATTTATTCTAGACAAAATTCTTACGATTCGCGAGTCAAATATAGCTTTGCTTCGGACTGTCCCTCAAATGTTGCGCATTAATATATACACAGTATACTGTCACACCACAATTCGTCCGTAGACTCGCGCGCGCGCGCGTTTTTTGTAAACGTTATTAAAATTATTATAAATATATATATTGCATATCTTCATATATTGTTACGTTAATACATCGCACTCGTAGCGCGTTTTTTCTTCTGTATATCGTCATATCGTTATAAGTCGCATGTGTGTAGAGATGTAAACGCACCTAAACAACAAAATTACGCCCCCATTGTTGTGCATATATATATGCATACAATACATGCACGCGTAATGCATGCGCATTGGAACGGATTAATACACGTTTATAGGCTTCTGGGACCAGGTAGTCGAGTCTAGAAGAGTAGTATACGTTAAGGAACAGAGTGAGTAAATTTTGATCCATTAAACGATAAAAAGAGCGTTAACTCTCATATACCCGCGGCACAATCTAAAACACTAAAGTTTATATTTCCGTATATATCTGATACAGAGCGATAGTTGAAGTCTACAATCGTTTTCATCAAATATGAAAAGATATATATTTATTATTTGTATGTTCCAAACTAGCGCATCGGTTTTTTAATGACGGTCTCTCACAAAAATTTGGAAGTAATGTTTACCTTAACGATAATTTTCAAAAATATCTAGTCCATGTGCAGATACTTGATATCGAAAATTTAATTTTGTTGCTGCTCAGTCATCTCTCGCCAAGGAAAACTCATTTCCAAATCCGTCCAGCTGCGAGTCATTAAAAAATAATGCAACATTTTTGAGACACCCTGCATAAACTCTTCTTGTAAAGTGTATTGTATTTCTTATTAGCCGATAAAAATGTAAGTTTTGACGTGTAAGTGCTGTGTTATGTATAAGATATTCTTTAAGCTCCTGCGCGGAAATATTATTAAATACTGCATTTTTGTTGTTTCCTCTGTACTACAAAAGCAAGATATCATCATCAGATGTAAAGGTAATCCAGAAAAGGAATGTGAGAAAAATGACTGGATACGTGCAGATATCTTTTTTTAGCATGTGGTATTAATAACAATGTAGGCACCAAGAAATATCCAAACAGTGGAGAATAGTTAATTTTCGATAAAGGTGAAAGTGGAGCTGAAGGGCGCAGAGGAAAGCAGGCGATGATTTTTTTTCTTTTTTTTTTTAGGATACGACTAACGATTATCTAGCTCTCACGGCGATTGTATCTTCTTTTTATATAAAATATACAAAAATATGTCGAAACGAATATTCACAGATCGGATATTAAAAGAGAGTCAATGTATAATTTAATGTGTTAGAGACGCTTACAGTGGATCTTTGGTAAGTTCCTTCTGGTAGGCAATTGGTGATTGTATCGCCTTCAGAAAGTCGCGCTGTGTCTGCAGGATAGCGGTGATGGTGTCTACCCATTCCTGCCTGCGCGGTCCACTACTTTCTTCAGCTACGCTACAAGAGAATCCTAATCCAGGGTTTCGGGGATCCGTCGATCGGATGATAAACTTTTCTGGATCGTCGTTCGAATCTTCAAGACTCATTTTGTTTACCTGTGTACAATATACATCGATTTGATAAAAATAATTTCTTATTTTAAAAAAATGAGAGCAACTCCTACAATAGAAATGAGAATTAATTGATAAACAGCGTTACCTGAATGTGTGCTTTATATATGTAAACAGGATTGGTGAATTGCGTTTTCTTGCCGACGGTTTCACTAAAGATAATATTCTGTTCGAAAAGAAAGACCTGCCATTCCTTTCCTCTCGTCGATACATTTGATATTTCCGATACTAAAAGCGGGCCGTGTAACAAGAGTTTCCCTTGCGCCGTTATTTTACCCTGAAGAAAATTAAACGCAACGGACTTTCGAGAACGTTTTTATCACGTAGAACGAGGGGGAAAAAGAGCAATACTCACGTCAAAACCTTGTAATCTTCCAACGTCCATCATATCGTTTGCAGCTTTAGGAATAACTCGCATGACATGAGCCGCCGCTCTGAGGCCTTCGATTTCCGATAACCTTTGAGTTCGTTCAGTGAGGCGCAGTGCCTCCCGTAGAAGAAGTTGATATTTTGTAATCCTTTGTACGGGCTTGATCAGCAAGTCGCAGAGTTGCAAACGATGCCCAAGTTTTTGCCTAAGTTCCTGCAATACATACGTTTCTCTTTCGTTTAGATGTTTCCGCTTTTGTGCGTAGTTGGCTTATTGATTTTTGCTGATTACCTCGAAGTAAGTATCTATGTACTCGGACACGATGTATTCCGAAACGGGCTTGTTCTGACAATAAACCACATACATGTGCAGCTTTCGCTCGTAACGTTTAAAGAGAGGTCCGAGCTCTTCAGGACGTTCCAAACAGCGTTCCAGAGCTTTGAGGAAGAAGCTGAAATCAGGAAACGCCGATGTAAAAAATATTCCAACGGGATAGCTGTTGAAATTTTAACGATGAATTCGACTCACTCTCTGTGCCACTCGTAGATAGCCTCTACGTTACCGAAAACCATCTTATCCTTTCCGGCGCGCAGATCTTCCGGCATAGGGATTTCGCACTCGGGATTTCGCATTAGTGCCATGTAACCTTCAACTATCTGTTTTAAGTCATTGACGTAATCTCTCTCGGTGTCCACCAGCTCGCGTATAACGAACTGCCGCTTGGCAATCGCAGTACTCTCCGGGTCCGCTTCCTCGGAAGTGACCGCGTTAATAGTCGCGTTACAATACTCTTCCTCGTTGCTCAACGATTTTCCGTTAGGAGTTCGCATGAGACTATGCCTTTCCTGATTTTCTGTATGTTGCTCCTGTTAATGATACGCGTAGTACTTTGTGCAATGCACAGGTTTGTGCATGTATTGTAAACGAACTTACCATTCTTTCCTTTACGATTTGCTCGATTTCCGAGAGATCAGCCGTTGTAGCACCACCATCGAGAATCTTCGTCGTACGTTCTGACAAACTGGTCGACTGTATAAAATAAAGCGATTGCAGTAAAGAGAAGATTCGAGGACAGCCAAAAAAGTAATCGAATACTCACTCGTTTTCCAGGCAATTCACTCGGTATCGTAGACCCCGACGGACCATTCGCGGTCGCTACGAGTATCGGTTCGGTTATAGGCTTCATCGGAGGAGGAAGTTCCAAATCGTCGTCGGCGTCTTCGCCACCGTTTTGTTCCTGCAAACTCGTCACCGCCGTGTCGTCGCTTTCCGTAACGTCCGCATCCACATCTACATCTACTTCGACCTCCTGCTGTTCCTCGCCCTCCTCCTCTTTATTGACCTCCTCGCCTTCTTGCACCTCAGCCTCCGCCTCGAACATCGCCTTACCGGGCCGATTGTGCTCGACGCCGCTCGGTAATTTAAAGCGTTTGTCCGAGCTACTTTTCTTCAAAGACGGCCCAATCAAAGGAGGCGATGACGTTGGCGCGGCTGTATTGGTTTTCTCGACTTTACCTTGACTAAGTTTGCGTAAAGAAGGTGGGAGCCACTTCCGTCTATAAACAGAAACACCCGGCCATGGTACATGATTATCGTTGCACGTATGACATTTCGAGATAAGCGTGAGACATTTAGACGATGGAGTTTCTATGGAATGCTTACCCGCTGAAACCTCGTCTCTTGTTGCCAGGTGAATTTGTACTAGCCGATCCGCTACCATCGCTTCCGGCGGTTTCTATTAATTTAAAACCAATCGTTATTTCGTTTCTCATAAAATCACGCTCCGATTTATCACGGTTATCAGAACTGATAAGAGGCGAGCATGCGATCGCGTCATCGAGCCAATTTGCGGTTCACCGACTTCCTGCTAGTTCGTTGGTTCGACTACCGTGCCAAGGCTTTTTCATTTCTTCATATACCGTGTAACGCTACACCGCTGTTTTTCTCACATCATGCATACATTAGCACAGGAAAAAATGAGAAAGCCAAGTTTGAGAAATGGGAACAGTTTGATACATCAAATTCAATCAGCCATCTCCTCGCGTTCACTCACCCGCGTCCTCCGATAGCATCGGTGACAGCACCGCGGACGACAACACGGTTAACGAGGATGCCTGCTGCGTCGCCGGTGCGATTCCGGTTACGGCAGGCGGCAACGTATTGGTGGTGGTCGACGTGACGGCAGTTTGCTGCTGCGCTTGGACAATTGCTTGATTGATTTGCTGCTGATGGTACGGATGATGATGCGACTGCTGCGGCTGTTGATGATGATGCTGGTGCGACTGTTGCTGTTGTTGCTGCTGCTGTTGCGTGGACGCTTTTCTGGACGGTGAAGTTTTGCAGGAAGCGGTCGGCGGCTGTTTCAGGGCGCTGGTGGGCACCAGGCCCTCCGCGGCCGGTTCAGCCTGCCCGGGGGTGAGCGGCAAACGCACTAGAGTCCATTCGCCGACGTTGGTCGTGCCGCTGGTGTTCTCCAATACTTCGACCTGCTGCCCCTTCGTCACGCTGAGCTCCCTCGAGCCCGGGGCGGCCATATGATCGGCGACCACCCACGTCATTTCGACGACTCCAGTCTAAAAGCATGCATCGAATATCTTCAGTAGATTCCGTAAAAGATCGCGATTCATGGTCGACGTATGTTAGATATCCGCGCGAATACCAGGGTGGGAGGTCGATGGGAGGAAGAGCAATTGATGGAAGAGGAAGGGGCGAATATAGAAATGAGATAATTAGCCGAATGCGATGTGTCTGTGTGCGCGCGTGCGTGAAAGCGGCGACGGCGGCGACGACGGCGACAGCGACGACGGTGGAGGTGGCGGTGGCGGTGGCGGTGGCGGTGGTGGTGGCGGTGACAGTGACGGCGAGCAAGGGTAGCGGAGGGTGGGTGTCGGGATAAACCGAAAGCAGGGAAGCAAAGCGAAGAGGAAGAGCTGCCCTCTCGTGCTTACGCAAGCGTAGACGGGTCGATACGATCGTCCTCTCTGTTGCGCGACCGAGGGACCCGCGACTCTCCCTCTCGCTCGCTCTCGCTGCGCGAAAGACCGATTGTCTTTGAATTTGCGGATCGACGGAGCGAGATTCCAGAGATCCGATTATTGACGCCCGAATGATTCTGATCAGTCGGATCAGTGTCACCGGGTGTCCCTCGCTCGCTCGTTCGGTCGTTCGTTTTCTTGCGCGCGCGGCCGCCCTTCCGCGACGACGCTTTTAAATCGCACGCGGATTCCGGCGTTTTGAAAATAGCTAATGTCACGACACCGCGGTACTTTGACGTCGCTATAAATACCGCGCGTGTGCGTGTATCATATTGACCGAGCGTCGTGCTCGGTTTGCCGCGTTTCAACCGACAACATCGTCCCTCTCATTCTCTTCCACTTCCTCCTTTTTCTCGTCGCGCGTGAGAGGCGCGCGATTGTTTGTCCGACGTGGGCCGCGAATGGTCCCGCCCGATGGTTCGCCCGATTTTCGTACATTCCGCGAGCCAAAATAGAATTTTCCACGTGCCAAGTTCCCTCGCAATGTCGTTAATTCGCGCCACCGCTCCGCTCCGCTCCGCTCCACGTCGCGCCGCACCACATGCGAAAACGACCGAGGTGACGAAGAAAGAGGGAAAAAATATACAGAAGCGATAAAGAAACGCGAAAAAGATTACGTTATCGCCGACGGCGACGCTCCCGAGATCCCGAGATACGTGCTCGTTCAACGCGAACTCACATCGCGAATTCCCAGATGATTCAATCAACAGATTCATCGACACATCCGTATCTATTTCCGTAATTCCAAAAGAGAACCGGATGGAACTTATTGAAATTCCATTGTACTGATCTCTTCCAGAGATATCTCTATATAAACTACTGAGTTTCCGCGAAAGACATTTGCCGGTTGAAGAAGCGATTTATGAAAGACCTTAAGAACTCGCAGAAAGGAAAAGAGATGACGACGTCATAAGATAAAGATTCTCCTCTCGCGAACAGGTCAAGTATCGTAGCGATACGGTAGTACCTGAGCCAAGGAGGGTTGACGGCGCAGAAGTCGGGCCTGGAACGAGCTTGGCGTATCGATGGTGTGCTGCCTGGAAAGGGTCGCGTGCGGCGGTGCCGCGGAACCCTGGCGGAACCACGGCAGGGAGATCTTCCTGCGCGCCTTCTGGGCGATCGTCGCCGGTTTCCCGGCCGGTGACGTCATGATAAATAACTTGGCTCCGACCCTACGATCGGCACGGCCTGCGGTACGGGTCTTCAGACGCGCGGTCGCGACCGCGGAGTGCAGAAGGGCAGGAACGACGTGGACATCGCGTTATCGTTCAAGGTGGAACGTCTTCGAACGTACGACGGTACGCAGCGGTGCGTCCGCCATGACCCCGTTTTCGTGTTTCTTTTTTATCTTCCTCCCTCTTCCCTCCGGCAAGAAGGTCAGGGTTTTTACCGATTCGCCTAGCGTCTCACGATCAGTGGTAGATCCTCAAGTGGATCCATCCGACCCGGGAGTCGCGCCCGTACTGATCGTCGGCCTCCCGACCGTGCGAAGTGACGAGATTATAACTAACCCAACCCAACTTGCGCCCCACCCAACCCTGCGCAAGTACTGGTCTCCGTGGCCTTCCCCGTGTCGTGTCGCCATCCCTATTACAGGGGGGGGGGGAGAACCCATAAGAAACCAGGTAGATCGTGCGGCATGTTCGGAATCAAAAGCGGGTCGATTCGGAAGCGGATCATTCTGGAAGCGAGGGAGGCAGAGTTCAATTTTTATAAGCTCCGGAGGAAGGTATTTACAGTCTGGATCCTGCAAGGATGGAAAACAAATGTAAAGGTTGAAGGTACAAAGGGTAATAAATAAAAAATCATTAACGATTATGCCTACGGCGCAGGATGTTCTACGATCTATGACCCTATGGATCTATGAACTTTTATTCGTGAATTATCTCAATTTATACTCCATTCTGCTTTAAAAAGAGAGATGTCAAAATCATTAATAGTCCATTAATTTCAAATAATTGAAGATCTAGGGATTTTATATTTTATACTTTTATATAAGACAAAACTATTTTTACACATTTAGAAATATAATAATTGAAAATAAGAGAAATGTTTAATTATAAATTGCAATTGCTTGCAAAGTGTTTATTACACATATTATATATTTTGTCACATTGCAATGTGTGGGCGATTATTTTGTTTGCCTTTATCAAAATTTTTTTATTCAAATAAAATTTTTTATTATAATTTAAAAGTTATTATACATTTTTTTATTCCTTAATACAAAATTGAAGCTGTTATAAAAGCATTAAAAAACGATAAACTCGAATTGAGATAAATATGACTCAAAATTGGAGTTGGTGGCTATGTGATCAATCGCTAATGAATTAATATTAATGTATTGAGCATAAATGTCTAGTTGATTCTTCTAAAGTAGTTTTATATTTTTCAAATAACAATAGCATTAATGTATTACTCTAAAAATTTAATACAAATTATGTAGAAGTGCTAGACAATAATTAACGATAAAAATTGAATTTTATATTAAATAATTACATATAACAATCTCTAAAACTATATAAAAAAAAATTGATTTTAGAAAATAAAAATAGTAATCATCTATTTCGTTTAAAATACGTAAACTACTTTCAGTTTTTTTTTCCTTTTCTTTTTTTTCTTTCTTCATCTCTCTCTCTCTCTCTCTCTCTCTCTCTCTCTCTCTTTTTTAAGCGATTAACATTGCATCAAAAATTAATTATATCTACAAAAATACATGCATGTAATATTTAAATCTCGTGCAATTCTCTCAACTTAATCTCTTCCGCGTGAAAATAAGAATCACTCACAATTTCCATCAAATTTTGTTTTTAGTGTAATAGCAAAATTTAAAAATTTTAATTATATCTTTGATGAGTTTCAATATGTCGTGTAAAAAATCAGTTTTGTAAAATATTTATAAATATAAAATAAATATAAAATATTAAAATATTTTTTTTCTAATAAAAAAATTCATATCTTACCTTATCAGAATCCGTAGTATTAGTTGAACCGAAGGAAGCTAAGGAATTCCTATCGAGATTCTCCACACTTTCGTCCAAGGATGCGCATTCTTCCAGATCTCTACTGGAACGTTGACTGGAGCTCTTTTTGGCAGGGCTCTTAGGCATATTCTTACCCAAGAATGTCTCTTGAATCACTTCGCGTAACCGCATCACCCACAACTGCTTCGCGTCCATTGAGTTCGCCCGCAGCACCACGCGCGTATCGCTAGTCGGTGCCCGTCCTGTCCATACCGCAAATTTGCATTCGTCGCCTTCGATATGCTCGGTCACACCCAACTCGGAAGTCAACAAGCGATTTTTATAAACGTATTTTACCTAAACAGACAATAGATGTTAATGTAAAATAATATATTCTATTTAATCTTAAGGGCAAAACTACTGCATACCTTTCCTGCGGAATCCTTCACTTCCTTAGTAAAGAGAAGATACAATTCGAATAGAAATATGTGACGATCTCTCCCTTTCCTGATCAATTGTTTTGGGTCCCATACTGTGAACGAATCTTGCAATACAACATCACCAAGTGCATCTATACTAACGTCGCAACCTTCCAGTAGACTTAAATGTAAGGCATCGTTAGCTTTTTTAGGCACATTTAACATCACTTCTAATCCCTCTTTTATTTCGCCCTGTCCTTCTTGGCAGCAAGCCTGAGAAAAGAACAATTTTTAATTATATCTCATAAGTCAATTTTTAAAATTATATCGTAAGCCTAAGAGATAGGTGCATATCATTGAATACCTGTAAGTCTTTAAGTAGCAGTTGATACTTAGTAATTCTCTGTACAGGTTTGATTAGATATGCAGCGATTGGATGTTCTACTCTATGCTTTCTCTGCAATTCCTCAAACCATGTTCCACCGTGCGTTATTAACAGTTGATTGCTCTCAGGTTTATTCTTACAGTAAGTTACGTACATGTCGAATTTAGGTGCCTGGCGGAATCAAGCGATCGTTATGTATAATATTGCGCTTCTAATGTTTAATATTTGAATTTAATATATTATACTCACCCATACTACAAAACAATGTCCTACGTCTTCCGGCATGGTCTCGTATTTTTCTAACTCTCGTAGAAACACGTTACTGTGAAACTGATGTATCTCCTCTATATTACTAAAAATGATCGATTCCCGATTTTGCAAACCGGCCGGAACATTTCCCTTTCCGCATCGCGTCTCGTCCAAGAAGCAACGAATGCAGGTTTCCAAGTCTTTTACATATGTACGTTCAGTTTGCAGAAGTTCAGCCATAATAAACTCTTTTCTTCGTGCAGATCTTCTTTTCTCTTCGTTCAATTCTTTCAGATCTTTACCCTTGATCTTCTCTTCCAGCAATGGATCCGAATTCCGATCGATTGAGAGATCTCTGTGTACCTCGTCGGGTTGAATACCCAGATCGCCTTCGATTTGCGTTTTGTAGCAATCCATTCGCGCGCTAAAGTCCTTGTATCGCTGATCGACCTCGGCAACAGCCTGCTTGATTGCCGCGGCATGAGCGTGACCTCTCTCGACCAGATTGTCAGCGAGCTGAATCAACAATTTTACTCTTTCTCTCGTTTCCTTCGCTGCGCCTTTAAACTCGATGTGCTCTTGCAACAATTGTTCATTTTCAATACGATTTTTACCAACGTTCGTATGCGTCGCTAAATACAACTCTCCAGTTTCCTTTATCCACTCGAGAGCTTGTTTCGCACTACGTTCAAACAGAACATATTGATGACATTGATCTAAGCGTTTCTTTCGCTGCGTCCAATACTCGAGTACTTTGTTCTCCTTACTGACTAATTCCTCTAAAATATTCTTGACTTTGTTTGCGGAACCGGCGCTGTTGGCATGATAGCTATAAAATTGTAGACTACGATTGATATATTTTAAGAACGTTTCCCCGGTACGTCGTACCAACGTACACGCTTTTAGGAAGGCTTCTTTTTGTTCCTGATGTCTGGTAATGTTCGCTGGTATTCCGGCAGCCTTTTCTCCGTCGGCACACCAGTCGTCATCCACGTTGTATTGTATTTCTAAACTGTCGAGAACTGAACGTACCGAGTCCACTGTTTTATAAAAATTAAAACTGGCGGTAATTAATTTATGTCGTTCCTCCGCACAGGTCACTAATTGCTGCCATCGTTTCGTAACGTCCTCCGCCACTTCTCTAATGCTTTTAGGATCATAATGATTTCCACTTATCAACGCGTCTGCTTTGTGTTTCACTTGTACGGCGGATGCGTGAGTATTTGTTATCGCGAGTTGAAAATGATAATGTTCCTTCCCTAATTGATCGGCGTCTTCGAAATCATCCGGTATCCTCAGCGAAGCCAGCAATATCGACTCACCATTACGTATCCACTTGATCACATGAGAAGCGTCCGTCTGTAACTGCAATAATTGAGAGGCTTGCTCCAGCCGTACCCTACGCATCTCAGCGAGGTCCTCCGCGTCCAATTCTCGCTCATTAAGAAACTCGAGAAGCACCTGCACCCGTGCCGCCGCGCTATGCTGACCGTCCGCCATAATACACACTCCTGCCTCTTCTAAGACTTGCGCCAATTCCTGGCCACGGTGCAGAATTTGGAATGCGGTATTCTGCATATGAGCAACCCCGTCATTATGCACGCGCAGCAATTGCTCGGGAGAACCTTCACGCGGCGGACCCTGCAGCTCCTGCGCCCACATCTCCAGCTGACCACTCGCCTCCAGCGCGTCGCGCTCAAAGACACGCAATCGTAAACACAGTTCTAATCTCAGCTTCTTGGTCGCCCACAAGTCTTCCAATTCCTGTCTCAAGGTAGCTAATCTGTCCAAGGCCGATTCCACCGCCGATATCGAGCCAGTTGTGTCGGGCGCGTCGGTCGCCTCGCGAAGTTCTTGCAGTAGAGCTTCGCCCTGAGCTATCGTCGAAGCGCATGCCTCGAGACAAGACGACCTATGCTGCGCGCATTGTTCCAGTAACCTTTCCGCCGTCTCCAGATTTTCCGCGACCTCATCCTGCTGCAATTCTTGACGTAGCTCGTCTACCCATCCGGTGAGCTGTGAAACGAAAGCATATTAAAATAGCATCGATATATATGCATACATGGATATATATCTGTTTACTGTTACAACAAGCCGTCATGCTTGATTTAAATAACTCTACAGAGCGTACGTAATCGATATAAACGTACCTCCTTTTCATGAGTATAAAACACTACTGCCAGATCTAATCTACGACGCCGTTGCTCAACTCTCGCTGCAAAACTACTAACGTGAGCTTCCAACTCCTGCGCTACCGCGTATATTTCATCAGGCGCGCATTCTCCCGTGTGAGCAAGTTCTTCGGCAGCTGTCAGAAGTTTGGTCGCATTCGTGTATGTATTCTACAAATAGAAGAATCTTCACGGTTAGGCATATTCACACACGCAAAAATATTTTATAAAAATATATATTAAAGCTCACCTGAGCAACATTTTCAAAATGTTCATGGCTTTTTTGATAGACACGTGCTTTCTGCAAATTACGACCTACACCCGTGTTTTTCCTAATGAAGACTTCACCGTGATTCGTCAACCAATCGAGAACTTGTTTCACATCCTCTTGAAACAATCTAGAAATCATAAATGCATGCGTTACTATTTATAAAATGGTATGTCAGCTTTATTACTTTCGTACTTTAATGCAAGCCGTTGATGCAACTTGACTTTGCGAGCGTGCCAACGAGCTTCCAATGCTCTATGATGACCAAGAATCTGATGAATGACGGCTAACACATGGGATGCACCCTCGCTATAATCGGCTGCTGGATTACCACTTGTTCCGGTATGACTGTCGATGTTGTGTCCATCTTGACTCTGCATAAATTAAATATGAAAACGTTAATATAAGCCATTTTAAAAAGTACATTATTAATTAATTAAACAATATTGCATGCGTTCTGATTAATACAATTAGATATCACTATTCTAACAAGCTTTTTATATAGAGTTATAATGTAATAATTAGAGCATAAGCAAGCATATTTATATATTAATCCCTGCAAATAGCATTTACAGAATAATTCCTCTTCTTTACATCAATCATGCAAAAAGCAGTTTAAATTTAATTAAAAAATAATGAAAGCACTTACTATCTCGCTCAATTGTAATTATAAATATTTCTTTTTCAAAAGCTTAATATATATGAATTAAGCTTTGCTTTCTAAAAAAAGATTAAACACACATGGACGTACACACATGGCTTTAATAAAAAAAAAAGAAAAAAAAGAAAAAACAAATAATTGTTCCTGTAAACACCATTAACGTACATGTTTTCTGGCGACATGGTCAATTCCTTGTGGTTGATTACAGACTTGCACAAGATGATCCAGTTGATAAAGAAGCTTCTTACTGGTACTATGCACCTAAGAATTTTATCCAAACCCACTTGAGAAATATTCACAATATTTAATTAAGTATATGGTTAAGTATATGGTGTCATATATATATATATATATATTGGGATAATTAAATAATATAAATCTAATTTTTATTAAAATGGCGGAATAATAAAGTACTATAATAAATATCGGTATAAATAAACGTGCGCCTGTACAAATTCGTTCGAGAATACTGAGACGCCTGGGTTATAAGGAAATTCTTTAAATGTTAATCATTGCGGAAAATTTGCGGATAGGTATTTCCAATAGCACCCAAGTACCAAGCGAGTAATGGATTCCATTGCCGTAAGCTTTAAAAATTGAATTTCTCGTACATAATCGACGCGAAATGTGTCCGACCCTGAAGAATGGGCGCTCACATTATGACATACTTGCAGCATTGAACCCAGGCCGCTCAATAACGCTTGATACGCATTGTAAACCTGTTAAATATCAGATAAACTTACAGTGTAAATGAAAAGGAACGTATGAAATGAAAGTTGAATCGATTTACAATAATGCAAAAAGTAATCTCGTCCACTCCCAACGCTATGGCGTCGAAATCGATCGTATAATGGCGAAGCATATGTTAAGAATAAATGAAAATTTACCTCCGTATACGCCTGACACATCGCTTCGTAAAGTGTTTGATGTTGGCGAATGTGAGATTCGAGCACTGGAATTTCACTGGGCAAATTACTAATCTCGCATGCCTGACTCCAGCCAGCCACGTTGTCAACATATTGTTCTGCTTTATGATGAAACACTACACTTAAACTAAGTACCGCGGTACGCTCGTCGAGACCCGCAGCAAACTCCTTCCAAGCTCGATCCAGACGTCCCGCTACTGCTCGTACATGCCCGGCCGCGTAATGCTGCGTCTCCAACAACTTGCCAGCCATTGTGAGGATTTTATTTATGTTCACATAAACGTTCATTGAACTCATTGTGAAATGTTTATGTTCCTCCTGCAGATTTTTCGCTAATTGATACGAGCGGCCGATTTCTACGTAACTGGCGAGAAACGCTTCTCGGTTGTGGCAAATCCAATCGAACATCTTTTCGCAATCCTGCTCGAACAATCGCAGTTGAAAACATTGGTCCAATTTCATCTTCTTGATGTGCCACAACTGTAGCAGATGCTGTTGCGCGGCGTGCACGGAATCCAAATGCTGAATAACTAGAGTAGCCATCCGTGCTCGTCCATCGGAATCTGCGCAGCTCGCCGCCCCATTGTCAATACTTCCTCCTTCCCCACCCGTCGCTGTCGTACCTGAGAACACATTTATATGCATTGTGTAATAACGGGGTTTTCATGTCAGTTTCATGTCATTCGTATTCAAGAAAAGGTAGAAAGTGCTAACTATTGTTAAATCGTTGAAGCAGGCGCTGTCCAACAACTTCGATATCTTCCACTGGAACTTTCATAATTTTCTTTTTCATCTCATTATGCAGATCAATTCCATGCTTAGCTCCCGCAACGTCGTCAGCAAAGTCATTTCGACTAAGATCTTCTTGCAAGTCGTCCAATCGATCGAGAAGATCCGCTGCCTGCCACGTAAAGTCTTCTACAACTAATCTAGTATCGATCCACTGGGCATGATCGTATTGTAAGGAGCCATCTAAATCTGCAGTGAGCTGAGAGGGATCTATGACCTTTACAAGAGCTTCTAAGCTAATCGTATTAATCTGAAATTAATAACTTTGTGAACATTTGTAAATATAATAGTCAAAATGTAATTAGAGTCACATAATAATTCCGATACACCTACCTCAAAGTTATATTTCTTTTGCTTGCCCAACGAAGTTCTCTGTTTCTGCCAAAAATTCTCCGGTTTGATAAGAAAAGCTACGTGAACTGTACGATGAAAATGCTCGTGTAACACCTGAATGAAAAAATTTTCATATTAATTTCATGCCCAATACTTTCATATATAATTTTTACATAATCGATACGAGGTAAGAAGCTGAAATTGGCATTCAAGCCAATATTTAAAAAAGGAAAGAGAGTTAGAAACCTTTAAAATAGGCTTGACCGAATCCCACGTTGTACCACGCATATCCACAATCACGGTAAATCGCAGACCCCTGGCTTCATCGCTCGGGATGGCGAACAGATACTGCAGGAGACGTCTGTAATCCTCAGGTTTCGCGCGCTCGCGTCTCGGCGTGCTCGGAAACAGAAGCACAGGTCCCCCCCTACGATCCCGTCCACCCGGTAGTATCGCCAAACGTTCTTGCAACAATGGCAATACTTCTGCCGCTCGTGTGCCATCCATTATCCTCACTTTTCATTAAATGGTCATGATCTGCTTCCGTTAATAGACAAAATGGACACTTGCGTTAGACCTTCGTCGTTGTCCTCGTAACACGAGGGCCTGAAAATCCTAGTGGTGTAAATCTGTACGATTCATTATTTGGAAAACAATGGAAAACAATCAACGAAAACAAATGCCGAGATATCTCGGTATAAACCAAATGTTTGATTTATTTTACAATAGAGGTTTGTTTTTTTTTCCCCATCATTTCGTCAAACTGTATCAAAATTTTCTTTTTCATTTTTAACAAACTTTGAATATTCATTTCATTTTAAATAGTTGGCGATAAAAAGATTATTATATCTGTTTTTCATAACTGAATCGACTTACTTAACATGAAATAAATACGTTTGAGATAAAAAAAGCAAGAAAGAAAATGTCTTTTTCAATTGAATTTTCTGCACCGTTCATTTTTTTATCGCTCCATTTTTCTCTTCATATTAAAAAGAAAAAATGAATTGTGCAAAAGTTCAGATAAAACAAATAGGTCTAAAATTTTAATGCAGTTCAATGCAACAATAGACAGGGAGAAGGGGAACAGGCCTCATGGAATTGAACAAAAGACATCCGGAGAAATAGAAGAGAAATGTTATTAAATTTTTCAAAATTTTTATGACTCACACCACTATGACTCTCAACTTCTCAAATAATGCCACAATTGTGAATTAAGAATATTATATATATACATTGTTCAATAATCAAAAAGATCAACATTTCACATTTGGATCTTCAAATAAAAATTTATTTATCTGTCTTAATAAAAATAGCTGTACAATTATAAAATCTGGCAGAGTTTCAAACATTGGACACTCCAATAAATTCGCCTCCTAGGAAGGCAATGTAAAGAAGGGGCGACTCTGCTCCACAAATGCATTCGGCGAAATAGTCAAATTCAAGGTCGTTATATACACACACACACGCACACAC